CATTTTTTTTTCATAAATTATTAATCAAACCTTACAAGAAAACACGAAATCCGCTCACCCCCTTCACTCCTCCTCCAGATTCTCCCTGCACAGGACCAGATGCGTCTGCGTCCGGGAGATTCCCCCCTGAGCGACGGGCGGAGACGGCGGCGCGGCCGTCGGCGCCGGCGCAGGATTCATCAGCACTAAGCAGCCCTCGCTCCACGTCCTCCGCATCGGGTACGAGACGGCGCCGCACCGCGAGGAGTGAACGCGGCAGCCCCGGGACTTGTGGAGGGCGCATTTGCAGTTCTTGTGGTATGGCCGGTGCTCGAATCCCGTGTCCCCGGGGATGCAGCCGTCGAACACGCCACGGAGGAGGCCGTCCCCAGCCGCGCCCGCCGACATCTGTGGTGGAAAATTGGCGGATCGATCGGTGGTGGAGCGCTCCCTGGCGGTGAGATCTGACCTAATTTCTAGGTATTTTCGCCCTTGTTCGCTGGGAGTGGGTGTAGGTCGATTGAGTGGACGGTTTTTTGGCTTTTTCTATTTTTCGGGGGAATTGATTTGATGATGGTTATGAGTGGGGAAAATGTGAGCCCTTGATAAAGGGATGGTTTGTTTTGAGTTGGTCTTTAGAGCATGTACAGTGCATCGGTGTCAATGTTATAATGTTCATGCCATATGGAAGTAATTAATTGGATTTTTATTTTTTATAACATCAATGTTGACATCGTATAATATAACAGTGTAAAATTATCTCCAATGTTTTACTTTCCTTGTATATGTACATTTATTTGATTGTATTTTTTGGTTTGATTTTGGTTAATTTTGAAAAATGTGGTATGGTTAGTTGTTAGTAGATATATTAAAAAATAATATTTAAAATAAAATAATTAAAGTTGATTTAATGTAAAAGTAGTAGGAAGGAAATGATTTGAGATGATGGTTAGTTAAAATTATGTGGGTGAATGAATAGTGAATTAAAATTGATGTGATGTGTAAGAAATATTGGTCGATATTATTTAATTATATTGATAATATTGATGATAGTGGAGTTGAATTAAAAAAAGTGGTTGAGTTAAAAATGTTAAATGAGAGCGGCATTTACGGTCAATGGGGTGTAAAGAAGCAAGGATTGTATCTATATATCTACAAGTACGGCTACAATTTCGTTACGAAACCATTCAATTGGACTTTTTAACCGTTAGATGCACATGTGTTGTGCATCTAACGGTTAAAAGTTCCAACGGAATGGTTTCGTAACGTGACTGTAGCATTTTCCTCTATCTAGATTAACTATTTACTAAAAATGGTAGCAACAAATTTTGGTAGCATTCAATGCATACTTTTGGAAACTTTTTAAATATATTCATCAGTTCCTTTCATATACACATTTTCAAATAAGATCAAATAAGATATGATAAAAAAATATTGTTTTCTTAAATAATTTTATTAGTATTTGCAATAATTTTATTGATATCAATTATAATAAACTACAACATTGATTTTCCGTAATTCATGCTAATAATATTTTGGCCAAGATAAATATGAAAATATATTTTAAGTTCTAACCATAATATAAATACTTTTTCAAAAATATTCATATCCTAAAATATTTATAAAATATCATAACATGTTAAGTATAATTCTTTCTTTCAATTATTCATGCGAAATCAAGTTGGTGAATTAATCTTTGTCAATATATTTGTTTCTTAAGCTTTATTTCATTAAATATAAAAAATAAATTAGTATTCAAATTAATATAAAAAATAAACCAGAGACCTTACTTAAACGACATCAAGCTGTTTACCACTTGAGTCAACAATAATAGGCATTATTAATTATGTGCAACACAAATGCAGACTTAATTGGTCAAAATTAGTTAAACAAAGTTTATTGTGGTCCTACACTTGTGTTTGTAGAATAAAAAGTCAAAATTTGTTAAACCAAATTTATGCTGGTTCGACATTTGTTTTTGTAAAACAAAAAATTTTATATTTTTTTTGCTTTTATTTTTAAAGTGAGATGTTGCTATGAAATGCTACTGTTATCGAAAACATAAAAAGAAAAAGAAAATATCGTTAAGATACGTTCAAATATGCATCCTGAATGAACTAAATATGCATAATGTATATATTTAATTTACATTTAACAAATATGCACTATGAATTGCAAATTGTGATACGGGTTTACCAATTACAATTTCCAACTGTTGTGGGTTTTACCACAACCACACATTTAAGTCTCAACATTATAATTTATTAAATATATAATTACACATGCAAGTCATGGTTTTGAGCGCATTTCAGAACCATACACGTACATCTTTCATCGAAACAAACAAGCAACTCATAGATTCTTCCTTCAGAAGTGAATCGAATCTCCTGAATTTCAAGACAAAATGTTGGGGGAGGTCCCAACTTATCTCCCCAACTCTCAAGTTACAGTTACTAGAGCTTTGGTAGAGAAGACATAGGCAATTGGCTAAAGATGTACTACGATTTCAAAGAAAATCTAATTCCTATATCATATAGAAGGTCACCTTGGTATTGCACAAATCATGAATCTTTCTAATGAGGAAATTTGAATCTTGTATGATTGATCTTGTTTCCTTACCCAGAAGAACATTCCCTTCCCTTTCTAGATCTATCATTTTCGAGCTTACAACTGCTGGTCAGATTCATCCATTTAGCTCCCATTAATGAATTCTCTACAGAGTAGAACTCCTCAACCGAGTCCACGTATCAATTCTCACACCAATCATTGAACTCTCTACTCATCAATCCAGACCACATATCAATTGGGATCATCTGCTTGAACTCTTGTGTCCTTAAGAGTCCACCTATTGAGCTGGCATAACGAACTACTCATACACTTCAGCTCAACTAAACCTCTAGCTAAACCAAGTAGGTACAAGCTATGTCATATCATGGCCACACTTTTTTGGTTTTACAAAATCGTGTTCTTGTATATTCCAACAAAGCTAATATCAAATCAAGATGGGATGTTATTTATTTTTCAGTTCAAGTCTTGATTCGTTGTTATTACTCTCCAACAACTTGAACATCAACTATCGTGGTTAGTATAATATACCATGGATACTAATAAGAGAAGTATTTAACTATAGGAGTAAAGTCATGGCTGCACAAACACAAAGGTGAAACCAAAAAATCATTCAAATAAACTGATTCCCACAAAATTATTAAAAATCACAAACCCATAGTCCACAAAGCATAACAAAGGTCTCACAAACAACTAAAACCCCTAGCTGCTTATTCCTTTCTTTTTATCCAAAGTGTCTAGCAAAAGCTACACCAAACAAAAACTAAAGTAAAAAGAAATGTAAGCATCAAATATANGGAAACCGACCGTACCCGTTGCCAGCATAACCGCAAGCACCATAAACAACGAGTAACCAAGATAAAGCGTGGCTGAGACGGGCCCACTCAAACTCTTGAGGTCAAACACCAGATAGTTTACCGAGTAAAGAAAGATGTATATGGCCACCGAGCCCGAGGCAAAGAAGGATTTCCACCACCACCGCCAGTCCTCGACGCACAGGTGCATGTACGTGAGCACGAGCGACACCTCAGCACAGACCACCACCAAAAGCACCATGACAATGAGCAAAAACCCGAACACATAATAAACCCGCCCCATCCAAATGCTGGACATGATGAAGAAAAGCTCGATAAATAGCGTCCCAAAAGGAAGCGTGCCAGCCCCAAGAACCAAGAGCCAAGATGGATACTTTTGAGGTGGGATTTCCCGAGGAATTTGATTGGTCCTGACAGGATACTCAATGTGGGGCGCCCGTGCCCCAAAATACCCTCCAACTAGCGTGAGAGGGACTGAAATACAAAACCAGAGCAAAATAAGCACGACAAACAGAGAAAACGGGATTGCGCCCGTGCTATGGCTGCCCCACAACAGGAAATTCAGAGTCGTGAGGATCACGAACGAGATTCCGGGGAAAAAGCACGCAGCCCACCATGAAACCGAGACCCACCCCTTATTGTCTCCACAGAAAATGGTTCGCCACATTCGTACAGCCACATATCCGGCAAGAATCCCGAGCACCATGTAGAAAAACAGCATGCCTGTAATCAAGGCCCCTCGAGAGGCCGGTGACATAAACCCTAAGGCGGCAAAGAGGATTGTCACGACAGCCATTCCAAGTATTTGGACGCCATCACCAACCATCACGCAGAGGAGAATCGAGTTTGCCGGGGCCCGGAATACATCACCCACGACAAGCTTCCAGCCCGAGAGCTCCTCGTTCATCTGGGCCTGTGCCTCCTTATCGAGCTCCTCGTATCTGGTGAGGTCCCGCCTGACCGTTCTTAGAAAGATTACAAGCACTATACCGGCAAGGAAAGTGATCACCATAAGAGAGTTCAAGATTGAAAACCAGTGCACTTTTGCACCCTCCATCTTGAGATAAGCGTCCCACCTGGAAGGCCACTTGATGTCGTCCCTCTCGACAAACGAGACCTCGTACGTGAAGGAAATCGGCTCGTTCTCCTTGATGGGCATGGCAACTGTACCTGGATCGCAGTTAATCGGAGCCGGATACTTATCATACATTTTCAAATTCTTCAACGAGTTTGGGTCGTGCCTGAAACTGCAGGGCACCACCTCAAATCCGACGACCATGTAACCAGGGGCATCCGAACCTTCCCTTTTAACTGTGGGGACAACCTCGACAGCATCCCCAGTGCCCATAACCTGAGCCACATTGGTTTCCTCGTATTTATGAACGAGAACCGTGAATTTGAGGTGATTGAACACGTAATACGTGTCCTGAACCTTGACGCCGATCGGGTATCCAGTCCACCGCAGCGTGAACCCGTCCTTGGTGGTGTACCGGATGGCGGGAAGGTTGTCGAGGATCACGTTGACCTGGTACATCTCGTCTATCCTCTTGGACAGGAGCTTGAACTCGTCGGCCGAGAGAGGTTTAGTACCGCAGAGGAAAATGTCGGTCTCGTTGGTGTACATTTTGAATCGGTAGGGGGAGTTTTCGATCCGGTCGCCCATGAGGAGCTCGCCGAGGTTCTCGCGGCTGTCCTTGATGCCGTCCGCCGGGCGGCAGAAAGGGAGATCGTAGTAGCTGAAGGGGATCTCGGTGTCGATGGAGGTCAGAGAGTTGACCTTCATGTTCAGGTAGTCCCCGACACCATACTTGTGCGGGTAGCTGCCGGGGAGGTAGAAGCTCTGTCCAGATCCGGCGAGCGTGGCGAGGAGGATGAGGAGGGCGCCGTAGATCTGGAATTTCCAGTGCGATCCCATGATTTCTCGGCTTTTGGCGGCGATGGAGATCGAGAAATCGGTTACGGCTTTTTGGATAATGAATATAAAAGATCCGATCTCGATGTTGATGGCGGTGATAGAAATGGAAGATGAAAATGAGATTTATCAGATTTTATGAATTGAAGAGGGTCGAGCTTGATCTGATCATCCTCTGGCTGACGTGATTTGCAGTGGCATGGAATGCCTGGATTTGGATTGAAGTGAGGAATAAAAGAGATCAATGAGAAACGTGTGTATTTATGTCTGTTTTTGTCGTCGGTGAGGCGGTGATGGAGAAGGATACGTTAATGTTTATTTTAAGAAATGATAATTTCATTTTTTGGGAATTTTTTTATTCTTAATTCAAATTAGGGACTAATCCTTTAAAAAAAAGGTATCAAATAATAATTTTTTGAGATGGACAAAATTACTATATATACATAATTAAAGTTGTGAATTAAAATTCATTATCAACAATTAATATATTATTTACCATAAAAAATCTCCAAATAAATCATTTTACACAAATAATTTTGAATTATGTAATTTATGAACAAAGTTCAAAAAATATTCAATGGATCTATCGAAATTATATCCATAAATTTATATATATTATGTTTAAACAAGTGGTAAAAATCTGAATTCTGGACTATAATTAACAAACAAACTATTTGCCATACAAAAACAACAAAAAATAAATCATTCTCAAATATAAATTAGTTCAAATTATATAATTTAAGAATGAAATATTTAAAGTCGCTCCAGATTCCTAATATACCTGTCACAATATATTTTTGCTAACAATGAAAATTTGAACTCCAAATAATATATAAAATTTTGAAATATTTTTCCGGTTTCAGAAATTTTAACTATAAGGTAGAATAAAGAAAAAAAGAAAAAAATATGTAATAAAATAAAAAAAAAAATATGAAGTTTAATTGGTATTACTATGTTATTAAATTATTTTAAAATAGAAAAATAATCTATGACTAAAATGAAATAAAATCAAAAGACTTATTCATCTAATTTACTTTGAACCTTAACTTTTGGCTTTTTGATTCGATTTGCATATCATTTCTTGATTCAGTTTGATTATCAGTATAATTATTTGTGAAATTTCCAAAAATTTACTACTATTTTTTAATTCAATTTGGGTAAAAGAAATCAATTAATCAACGATTATTTTTCAATGCATAATGACTTTTGATTCAATCTCCCTTACATATAAATGGAGAATGCGCCGAACCTATGTGGCAACTTTGCATTTCGTAATTTTACATGGCAAAATATTATGCTTCCTAATATGATTTGGATAAAAATTACTATATATATATATATATATATATATATATATATATTTAAATCATTCCATATAAATTTATTTATTATATTCTTTCTATAATGTGCATATAAATCTTCATTTCCAAACTTTGTGTTTTTTTTATATTATTCCCTTATGTGTTCTAAATAAAAATATTATAAATAAAATTAATGATGTATATAAATTAGTTTTCATAATTTAAAATAATATTGTTAATTCACTTAGTTATTTATTATAAATTATTATATATTGTTCTTTATTTATTTTTTTCCAACTTCAACAAAATATATATTTTTTTTTCATTTTTTATTGTACATTTATTATTTTATCAACCGCTTGTGTAGTACACGAGTATTGTACTAATTTATTTAAATAATTTAATATTATTTTGAGTATCGTGGTTAGCCCTAGTTAGAGCATTGCATTTTGATCAACACAAATTTAAAGGTGGGATTGGAAATCTTTTTTATTATTGGTCGAATATTTTTTTTTTACACATTTTTAACTTAAAATCCAATTCAAATTCAATCCAACTTTATTCTCCTATTATCTATCAACTAGTATTCGACCTTGTGCATTTGCACAGATGTAAATAAAATTAAACATTATAAATTATATTTATGTATATAATATAAAAATTATAAGTTATAATTGTATTATATTTCAAACATATACTATTATAAGTTATATTTATGTATATAATATTAAAATTATAAATTATATAATAGTATTATATTTTAAAATTTGATCATTGGTTAAAATAAATAGTACACACGATTTGATTGTATACGAATCACTACATTGATTGCATAAAATGCAATAAATATATACGTTTTATAATTTTGAGTGATCATGACCAATTAATTAGCTGAAAAATATTACATTTATTATAACAATTGCTCATGTGATTTTAAGAAATTTTACTATGACATAAAAAAAATTAATTTATTAATAAACAACATCTTCATCATATAAAAAAATATTGATTTTAGTGTAGAATATAATTTTATGTAACTTTCATATATTAGTATAAAATATAATTACTAATTTTAATATTAGCTATTTTATTATTTAATAAAAAATATAATTATTAATCAATTAACATAAAATATAATAGTTTTTGTCTTAATTAACCCAAAAAATGTAATGAAATATTTTCTTATTAATGAGATTGGGTGTATTAATGCCACATAAATAAAATTTATTAGGTTCTATTTATTAGGTTTTATTAATGATTTGCCACATAGGTAAAATTTATTAGGTTTTATTTATTAGGTAAAATTTATTGCTTAGCTAGCAATTATATATATATATAGATAATTACACATTATATCAACAAAATTTACTATTTATTCACTCATATTCTTTTAATTACAAATCATTTTCGATCATTTATCTCATACTTTTACACTGCCTTAACTATAATCAATTTTAAATATTATTTAATATAAACTCAAAATTTTACCTTATTCTCACTCAATTAATTTTTTCTTTTAAATTAACTCCCTTTATCCAATATATTCAATCAAAATAAAAAAAAAAAAAAAATATTTGCAATCTCACCTCAAAAGTCCAAAGCATATGTTACTTAGGGAATCAATTGTAAAATAATTAATATCATCAAACGGGGGCCAATGGGTGTTGTTTCACTCAAAGTCGTCGCTTCATTCATTGAAGGCTGTCTCACATAAAAAGTTAAAAACAACTGCGAGGATCTTAACTCTAACCCACCCACATTACTTTATCATTTGTTGTTAATTTGTTATTGTCCGTTTGCGAATTAAGCAATTTTTAATTGTTTACACATTCCTTTGCTCGAGTGATTTGAGCGTCCTCGAGTGAGAAATAACGTGATTCCTCACGTTATAAAGTAATTGTTAAAGTGATTATATGTGTGTTGGAAGTTGGAACACAATGGACCTTCATTTTGTCAAAGATTTATTTACTTTTCTCACACTATTTTGTACCAACTAATTTTAGAGAGCAGGAACCCGTTTTGGTTTGAAGTGCCGGGTCTATTCTTTACGATTGGATATAAATTATTTTAAATAAATTTTATTCGACTGAAAATACAAATGAATAAAGAAAGTCATTTTGAAAATATTGCTTGATATTTATTAATAATTTTAAATATATAGTAGTTTTATTCGAACTAAGTTGTCTTCTGACATAATTTTGTTCGAGGTGTAAAAGTTCGATTTTCACTCACTTGTATATTTAAACGAGTAAAACTCAAAGTTGTCATTTGACATAGTTTTTGTATACTTTGGTATGTCTTGATCTAGCAATGATATTAATGTGTTAGAGATATCCCAGCATATGTCATCCAAAGGAAAGAATAAAACATGGAGTATTATTTAGCAAATAATATATATCATAAATGGTTAACTTTTGTCCAGAATATTC